ACATCCCACTTCCACACCTATTCTGTTCTCTTCACCTGTCGCTATTTCGCCGAGAGGACTGAGACTAGCAGAGAAAGGACACGTCGCTCCCTCCAAAACTTTCAGGCCTTTCCTCAATGACACGCCGTGCACGTGCCCCTATCGACCATTGCAATGATTGAATGTTTTCAATGAATGCTTACCAGTAGACTATCCCATCGCTTGGCTCATCCGATTCAACCTGTAAGGGTTAGCGACTCTGAGTTTTGAGGGTCCCCCTGAAACTTAATGTGTCCACAAGAACTCTTAGGGACTACAAACACTGCAACCCCCTGATTTGATAACAATCACATTTAATATTTTAAATATTTATTCACAAACTCAAAACGGTGAAATTTCAATTGATAACACTGGCACTAATGATTTTGTGTACAATAAACCTTGGTACATAACATGTCACGTCATCCATCGCGGCCTTGAATGGAACTGACGCGGGATCGAGGCGATGATTTGTCACGCGATATTTCTCTTCATATTATTCGATTAATCGTTCATTATACAACCTCAAAAGCTCTCTCTCTCATGCTCAAACGACGCCGACAAACCGGATGGTATCGCCTCGATCTGTGGTAAAAGAAAGGCTTAGACCAATATTAACCGAAACTGAGCGCGCTTGAAGACGATGACGCGACAGCGACGAAGGTGTGGGGGCATACTGAAAAAACCGAGGGATATGTGATTCACCGCTGTCGTTCATCGTCTTCATAACGGGAACATGACCATCCTACATGTCGGGAAAACGACGACGAGCAAAAGCAATGCCAAACAATACCAGAGAAATAGAGAGGGGGGGGGGCATAATAAATGCGCTGCTTAATGAATTTTTTGTATAATGGAATCAGGTGCAATGTTGCAGAATCGTCTCAGCAGCAGCACAGCATATACACGCAACAAATCTAGTACTACACATACACACAAAAAGACACTCGGAAGGTAACAGACAATAAAAAAAGAAACCTGCATGAAGAAAGACACGATCGGGTCCGGGTCGGATTGTTGGTTGATTGATTGTGGTAATGATTTTGTGATCATGATAACGGGAAGAGGAAGGGGGGCGTAAACGAGAACCTTGTCAAATTCCACTCATTCAACGGGATACGCAGCGTTCGAGAAATATAGTAAACGAGACACTATAACATATAAGGACGCAGATATAGTGTGGATCTGCAGGTCAAAGCATCCTTCGACCCATCACCTGCGGACCACTGCTACACCTGCACCGTGAGAAATTTCACGAATAAATAACAAATTTCCTACAATTATCTATACTAAACAAACATGGTAAGGCAGTGCTCTGAGTGATGCTGGTCGCCACACTGCGATCCTGGCGCTATGTAGTAACAATGAAAAAGAAACAAATACTTTGAAAAACAATGACTTAGCTGATTGTCAGCAGAATGAGTGGCGCTGATGATTATGACAGGTGTAGATAGGGAGAGTGGGGATAGGAGGGGCAACGACAGGGGGAGGTGTTGAAGTGAGCGTAAAACAAATTGAGAAGAATGTAAAAACATAGATAAAGACGCCGTATTTCATAAGAACCATGTAGAAAGAATAGAGGGAAAAATTTGATATAAAAACACTATTTGTAATTCACATATACATATACGTGAAGAAATTAAACATGGAAAGAAAATGGTAAGGACGACAGCGACGGTGATGATGATGAAGTTGATAGAAACAAAAAAAATTGATGATGAAAGAATAGAAGAAGAAACAATTTTTTAAGCCTATTTTTGTTATCGTGAATATTTTAAATTTTTTTGGCCGGTCAACAACATTGGGCTGTGAATGGGTGTGATGAAATGGCTGCATTTCAGACCAAATCAGGCAATTTAAGCTCGATCATTACTTAAATCACTCTGTTGTAAACAAAAACAGCAGCAGCCACCGATGTGACCGAATTTATAGGTTTTCATATAAAGAAAAACACAACTAAATATAGAAAATTATCTAAACAAAGATTTGATGAAGGAAAAGATAATGAAAAAAGGAAAACGAAACAAATAACACATTAACATGGGAAGTCGAGCAGATGAGACACAGAGAGATAGTAGAGAACGAGAGGATCCCGGAATGATTGGTGACGACGGTACGCGCGACATGTTGATATCACAGAACTTTGTGGGAGGCGTGAATTGTGAGATCGTGTGGTAACATAAACAGATCGAGTAGACTACCAGACACATCCACTCTCATTGCTCAGCTGCCGTTGTGACTGGGATCTTTGGCGGTGACGTTGGCAGACATGTGGGTATAGAACCGTTTGGTCGTGATATCCGACGACTACGTGGTTTTGTTGGTCGTTGTAGAGGTACACCGCTCACGTCGGCTACATCTGCCAACCTAAAACGAGATTCTAGTTGAGGGCTGTTACAGAAAATGATCCCTAACTGTACCGATTCGGTAAGTTTGCAGCCCCCCGACATTGATACAATGTGAAAACAGAGAGTAGGAGACCGTAGAATGAAGTCTCGAGAACAACTGATGTGAGACTGAATTTATACTTTGCGGCAGCGTCCACCGGCGTTTCGAGCGTCCGTACGCGCCGGCGAGTAGGAAAGCATTTATCGATCTAGCGAACGGTAGCGTTCACCAGCGTCCAGGAGTGAAGAGTATGGGGAAGTAGAAGGGTAGCAGACAGCTGGTAGATTATGGGAAAGTAGGAGGCGGCAGGCAGATGGATTAGGCGTCGTGAAATTGCGGCGTGTGCAAGCTGCACCGTACGACTACTACAGCATAGAATTATTGAATTTAATGTCCGGTGGTGTGTAGCAGTACGGTGCGGTTGCACACGCCGCAATTTCACGACGCCTAATCCAGCTGTCTACTCCTTCCTACTTCCCCATACTCCACCAGCAGTCTGCTACCCTCCCACTTCCCACTATTCTTCACTCCTGGTGGACGCCGGCGTAGACTGCAGCATTAGATAATCCACACTTTCCAAGTCGCTCGAAACGCTGCTGTACGCTGGCGAACGCTCGCACGCGCTAGTGTACGTTAAATCAAAATCAATAATTTTCTGGCGGTGGCGTACGCTCGAAACGCTAAAACGCTGCCGTACGCTCACGCAAAATATGTATAGTAAAAAAACAGAACATCGGAAAAGTTCCTCCCCCAGCCGAAGTACCAAAACAGTGACAAACTAAAGGGATTTAGACGTCCAAACTGCTGTGGACGAAACTTTAAAATTAAGAACAACCACACAGCTGTTTTTTCGACTCACCGATCATGATCCTGGTCCTCTCCATAATCGCTTGAGCTTGAACTACCACTACTACTTGCTGCACTGTGTGCTGTGCTTATACTGCTTCCGGAACTGCTTCCACGTGGTGTGGACCGCCTTGAATGGCCACTTGTCGGTGAATCACCAGCTGTAGAACCGGCGGACATCTCACGTGTCGAATTGTACGACGACACGTAGACCATTGCACTGAAACTAGTCGAAATTTGAGGACTTTTCGGCTTGAGCTCTGAACTCTCACGCAGATTTCAAGTCTCAGTAGAAGGTTACTCACCCTCCCATAGGAGGATTCACAGGTATCGGTTTGCAATTCAATAACCGTTGCAAATCTCGTGTAGTGTCCAATTCTTGATGGGCTTCCCGGAAAGCCGTCTTAATAGCATCAAACACCATTTCATCGTATATTGAGTGGGCAGTATTTGAATAGGTGAATGGTTCCTGAAAACATTGCTAGTTATCACTCATTGTGGCAGCACTTACAAGCTACAATTCAGTGAACTTGACCCACTTCAATGCATATACATCGCCATTGTGACCGCCAGTTGGTACCGTTCTGTTGGTAGCCCCCATTTGGCCGTTGTCGCGCAATCACCGCTCTGTCGATTCGCTTGCCGAGTCGCACCGAAATCGCGTCACGGTCGTAACTGTATCGATGATAAAGAAATTAGGCTTATCTGATCAATTTAGACAAATCACGCGCACGTGCAGCACAGGTCAACTACCAATCAGGAGAAGGGAAATGACGTCATCAACCAAGATAGTATGATGGCGTGAGGTGTGTGTCAAATGGCGCGGCTGCATATTGTCATACTGCTCTGGGGCGCTACTGACCGTAATTGCCACCTTCACCTCTCCTCTGCAGCCCATCTTTTGTAGAGGGCAACTCGTCCAGGTCGCTCATCATCGACTGACATACCTGATCGTCCTACATTGTAGGGCGCCATTGTAGACGCCAACTTACGTATCGACGACTCACGTACACATGCTCCTACGATTTCAAGCTTATTTTCGAGTTTTTTTTTACCCTAACTCCTTTAAGGAAAAGTTGTGGGATGCGCGAATCGGCGTCTACGTGGCCTACACTGGAGTCTTGAAAATGTAGTCAGATCAATTATGTGAATCATCCTGACGAGCGACCTGGACGAGTTGTCCAGTGCAAAGTAAGGACTGCAGCGGTGGGGTAGCGGTGGCAATTATGGTCAGTAGCGTCTTAGTAGCACTATGGGAGTTGACAGCTGCGGCTTTGGACCGTCTGCCGATGGCGTGGCTCTCGAAGTTAGCAATTTCATTAAAAGAGAACTTCGGGTCAGGCAACTCGCCAGAATGCGTACCTCTGCTACACCAGCGCTATCGATCAAATACAGTACTATTATGAACCTACTCGAACTTGTTCGCATAGTAGTCGAGGAAGCCAATGAGAAGTTCGCCAAGGGTCGATTTATCCGCATATTGCCATTCAGGTGAGGGTGGATCTAGTGGTAACGTTACGTTCAACGTCCGTACATCGCATTTATTGGCGAATCGTCGTGGGAACATTTGTTGTAACGACGGAAGTACGCCTGGTTCGGTCCCACCTGAAGGCCATCACTTATTCAGCGAACAATATCACCGTTATGAATGCCAGATACAAATGGGTCTCATTTCTTACATTGGAGATAATGTATGACCATGAGCACAAGGGAATAACTGGTGAAGGACGATCGATTCGCATCGTTGATGCCTTTGCGTTTTGCCCATTCCTTTACCACAGACACTAACGGACGGACACGCCAGTCAACTGAACAAAAGAAAACGGTAATAAAACCCCATAGACACAGCTGGAAGACATCATAAACTGCTCGTATTCCAGGCAGTAACGGCTGTTATAGCAATAACTACTTACAGGAAGAATAATAGCACAGAAGATGGGTGTTTTTAATGGCAACCGAGTTGTTTGCGTTCAGATCGACCGTAATATCCGAGAACGGTGGCGCAAACTTGATCCGTAGTATTGGGACCTTGAAAGTCGCAAAGTAAAAGAACCACAACATTTGCTCAAATGAGTTTTATAGGGAAACCTGCTCTCACCTTGGCTAAGATCAACTTCTGATGTGATACCCATTCTGTATGTTGCAACGTGCTGAGAATCATATTCAGCACTACAACAGCATCAGTTTTCTGATCAAGCTGAAATCATTCAACATGAAAGCGCATGGCTGGGGGAATAATTCAAAAGTATATAAAGGAGGAAGGATAGTTTTCTCCCTTTTTTGGTACGCGCCACGCCTCCTACCTCCAAGAATCGTAGAGGCTTATTGAATGCGATAGGGCCTATACAACTACTCATGGTGGCCAGCCAATGCATAACACAGTGTTCTATCCTACCAGACAAATCTCACCAATTTATGGGCTATAAGAGATGGAAGGCTTATTTGGCCTGGGTGGTAGCGGATACGGGACTTCACCCCGGACCGCGCGTGTGGTTAGCGTGTCACTACACATAGCACCACCTCCTCCTCAT